AATCAATCAATCAATCAGTCAATCAATCAATCAAATCAATCAATCAATCAATCAATCAATCAATCAATCAATCAATCAATCATCGATTCGATCAACGAATCGATTCGATTCGATCAACGAATCAATTCGATTCGTTGATTGAATCGAATCCCGATCTTGATTCGATTCAATCAACGAATCGAATCGATTCATTGATCGAATCGAATCTACATCAAGAATCGATTCAAAAACAACATTGAATCGATTCTTGATGTAGATTCGATTCGATCAATGAATCGATTCGATTCGTTGATTGAATCGAATCAAGATCGTGATTCGATTCAATCAACGAGTCGAATCGATTCGTTGATCGAATCGAATCGATTCGTTGATTGATTGATTGATTGATTGATTGATTGATTGATTTGAATTGATTGATTGATTGATTGATTGATTGATTGATTTGATTTGATTGATTGATTGATTGATTGATTGATTGATTGGTTGATTGGTTGGTAGGAGGCGGAGGAGGAGGAGGAGGTCCCGATGGATGGACAGAGAGAGAGAGAGAGAGAGAGAGAGAGAGAGAGAGAGAGAGAGAGAGAGAGAGAGAGAGAGAGAGACCGATGGAGGAGGAGGAGGAGGAGGAGGTCCCGATGGAGGAGGAGGAGGTCACCATGGAGGAGGAGGAGGAGGAGGAGGAGATCCCGATGGAGGAGGAGGAGGTCCCGACGGAGGTGGAGGAGGAGGGGGTCCCGATGGAGGAGGAGGAGAGGGTCTTGATGGAGGAGGAGGAGGAGGTCCCAATGGAGGAGGAGGAGGAGGTCCCAATGGAGGAGGAGGTGGAGGTCCCAATGGAGGAGGAGGANGAGGTCCCCATGGAGGAGGAGGAGGAGGAGGAGGTCCCGATGGAGGAGGAGGAGGAGGTCCTGATGGAGGAGGAGGAGGAGGTCCCGATGGAGGTGGAGGAGAAGGGGGTCCCGATAGAGGAGGAGGACGAGGTCCCGATGGAGGAGGAGGAGGAGGACGACGACGAGGAGGATACACAGAGAGAGAGAGGAACTCACCGGCGATGGCGATCCAGATGGCGGGGCTGGGGTGCCGCGTCCTCGCGAGCGCACTCACGCGCTCGTCGTCCAGAGGCGGGAGTACGAGGGCAGCGTGGGGAGGATTGGGGCGGACGCGGGCGGTCGGTGCCCATCGGCAAATTCGAATTCGAATTTGGCCCGATCTGGGCCGTCGATCGGATCGATCCGACGGCCTAGGTCGGGCCTTACTGTTTTCGAATTTTTTTAGGCTGCCGGGCCTCGTTTTGCAGGGCTCTCGGTCGAGCAAGACCCCCCCCAGCCATACGAAACACACCAGGCCCCCAAATTCCCCCTCAGAGGCCCGGCCCTAATTTCCGCAGGGGCCGGACCTTCGGGAGTCACCGTCCGGTCGGACAACCCGGACGTCTCCCGGGGTCCCGGACGTCCAGCGTGGTAACCTAGGAAAAAAGTAAGAAACGACAGACTGAAAACGAAAATGCTATAAAAAAAAAAGGTCGGGGCACGCTAGAAGGACACAAAACGACACGCCAGAAGGAGAAAAAAAGACCTAAAAGTAAAGAAGGTAAATACAAAATTACAAAAATAACACAAAATCAAAAAGAAAAAAAAGAGGCCGGGGCACGAAACGGCACTTTCTTGCTATCCGACGGCGGGCGTGTTCAGATATGAATGCGCATCGACGCCCGCCGTGTACCCGGCCCGGGGGGCGCTTTCTCTCGTTTAGTGGCGCGCTGTGAACAATTCGGTACGCGCGCCACTCTGCACAATGCCCCTCCCTCGATCGCCTTCATCCGCCGGCCCGAATCAAAACTTCGGGCAGATTCGGCGCGCAGCGGAACACGACCTCCCCCCCGCGGGCCCACCGCGCTTAAGGGGTAGGATGGTGAAACAAGGTGACTATATAAAGAGAGGGCAATTATTGGCAGACGGATCATCTACGCTGGGTGAAGAGATTTCGTTAGAAAACAATATTTTAGTAGTTTGTATGCCTTGGGAAGGATATGACTTTGAAGACGTAGCTTTAATTAATATATACACTTCAAAACATATAGAGTGTTGCAGCCTGCAGCGTAGTAGGGTGCGATGCTTTCATGGTTGCCACGACAACCTCTCTGATCATCGCATATCTATCAATGTTTTAGTGAAAGATTCACTTTCATTATGTGCCTTGGTAGGTGGCGGAGCGTGACTCATAGCCACACGCTTTGACCTGTCTTTTTGCTTATCGCCGGAAGGGCGAATCATCGTGATGAGATAACTCACCTTCATCACCGTGACTGAGCTGACTCATTATCATGGTCCAAAATCCGGTCTACTCATTGGGGTGACGATGTTCTTCATGCGGGTGCACCTAGTCGAATTCTGCCGGCAAATCCGCTTCCGTTTGCAAGTATGGTAGGTAGCGCAGCGACAGCAGGCAACAACAAAGAGTGGACCTTCCTAGATTCCACGGGAAGATTCATTCTCATTTAACACACGTCGCAGGTGTTGCTCACGACGTTGTTCGGAGTGAATGAAGTCAAGTACTATTTGTCATAGTCAAGTTTGTCAACGAGACAAGCCACAGACACAGGCACCGTTTGGGCTTATTAAGCCTTTGCGTATACTTACTAGTCCTGGTCAGAGTGTCTCCATGGATATCATGGATACTCTTGTGACCAACAAATGTGGTAAACGTCACATCTTTGTCATTGTGGACAGGTTCACTATGTATGCTAGACTAATCGCTATGCCTGAGATGGATATGACTGATCACATCATCAAGCTATTTATGGACAACTGGGTACGTGATCTCGGTCTACCTAAGTCTATTATAATCGTCAAGGATGTCAGATTCACTAGCCAACTGTGGCAACGTACAACCCACCAGATGGCCACCCGACTGCAAATCACATCAAGGAGCCACCCTGAGTCAAATGGGCAGGTCGAGCAGACAACCGGGTAGTGCAGCACTTGCTTCGACATTGTATTAAGCCAAGTCAAGATGACTGGGATGCGAATTCTCTCTCATCGCCAGCTTGTATAACAATATTGTGTACAACACTACCGGTAAGACCCCCAACCAGCTGCATCTTGGTTGGAAGCCCATATTTGCTCTTGACTTCTTGTTGCTTGAAAATTAGCCAACTGTAGTACCTGGCAGCACAAAGTTTGCCGTCAAGTACGAACAGATGCTTCAACAGGCCGTTGAGCACATTAAGAAATCTCAGGATGTCATGGTAGCATCCAAGATCAAACATAGACGACCCTCTATATTTAAGGTAGGTGAGCAAATCTGTGTTAAGTCATCTGAGTTGGGACAGGAGCTGAGAATCTCTCGTAAACTGATGCCAAAGTATGTCAGACCCTGGGAAGTTTGGGATATCGTAGGAGATCAGACAAATGGTCCATCATATGATATTCACATCCTTGATCACCTCCGCACACACCCTGTTTTTATCGCATCCAAACGTGCATCTTTCGCTGAAACCAATATGTTTCCCTCTAGGCGATCAATGCTGGCCCCAACCATGGACGAACACGTCGACATTGATGACATTGTTGAGCTCAAGTTGATGCCTGTGCCCAAGCCTCCAAGCAGGGGACGCCCTACGAAACTGCAGATGAAGTATCGGGTGCGGTTCAGACACCATACGGATCCTAAAGAAGATTGGTGGTTCACAAGAAAAGAGTTAATGAAGACTGCTCTCCAAATTATCTCACGTTATGAACGAAATTTGAAAGGAAAGCAGCCCGTTGTGTAACGGCATCTCAAAGGACTATCGAAGTGAAGGTGGAGGGAGTGCGAGGGTCTTACCCCTCAACATACTGGCATAAGGCCCTGCAAGAGACTCGTGTCTGCCCTAAGTGAAGGCGCCCCCCCCGAATCTCAATGAGCCCTGGACTCATTAATTTTTGCAAATCTTGGTGCGCGCCAAACAATTGCCATGCGCCAGTTGGTTACATTTGCCTACGGTCTTCACCCGAATAGAACGCCCGATCATTATAGCCGTATTTGGTGCGGTTTTCAGTCCAGATACAACTATAACAACCGAGTGTTCAATTCGGGTGAAGACGGTAGCTCATGAGAATCCAAAATATGTATGAGCATTCCAAGCTCTTCCAACAATGTGGTCGAAGCAGGGAACATTGCACATTTATGCCTGAGTAGTTGGGCATGCCTAACCAAAGCAGTCTCAGGCCATTGTCTGAACGGGCCTGGGCGCAGACACTTTAGCCGAGACTTAAGCTACTGGAAACTCGGTCTCACAGGGCAAGCAAGTGAAATGCACCCGCCACTTTCCATATAGGAATGTGCCAGACTCCCCCAGGGACATTCAGGCACTTGGTAGAGCGAGCGACAACACTATTGGAGTGAGCGCTCGCATGCTGCTGTTAGCGCTAGTGCAGATGCGCGCGTGCGGTATTGCGTGGGAAATAGGGTGCTGCTGAGGGCAGCGCGATAGCCCAACCCATGAAGCCGGGCTTGGGCTTGGACAGCAAGCGAGAGGTGGTGGTGGTTTTCGTGTATGAGGGTGAACACATGGGTGTAGAAGTCGAAGGTGATGAAGAGAGAGATGAGAATGATGACGTGAGGGCACGTACCTGGTCTTAGCGATGGTCTACAGAGACGACATCTTCATGTACTTCCGTTGTTGCTGCTTACGTTAACAGGTTGCATTGTCAATTCGTAGGCTGGTAGTAGTTGTGTGAACGTAGCCTGGGCGCTGAGCGCCAAATTGGAGGAAGGGCTCTAGATACATATGTTGGTGGTGGCGAGAGTATACTCTTATTGACATTCGGATGCGGTGCTTTGGTTCTCCGTTTGTGAAATATCAGTATATTTCTGCTTTCTGGACAACGTTGTACTTTTTGGCTTTCAATGTGATTCTACGTTCTGGATTTCTATAATTTTGCTATCGCTCATGTTCCTTGCAGATTGATTGCTTGATTGATTGATAAATTGGTGGGCGAGGGGTTCCCCCCTCCTCCCGGCGCACGCACACACACATACGCACATAGGTCAAACGAACCGGATGTTTTTTTTAATACTTTTT